GCTCACACTTTATCGTCCCGTGTGGGTATTATTATTTTAACAGCTGATTTTGGCGGGAAGCTGTTGCTTCGGCAAGTTCACGGAGCACGTTCACACCGGCGGAGTTTGCGGAGGTGTCTGCCCGTCGCTCTGCTTCGTCTCGCTGTCGTTTAGCCATATGGGGGGGGGGGGGGACCTCGGCATAAACGGCCATCTTCGTACCACTTGTTTGCTTGGTTTTAGCTGAACCCAATAATTTTTGCCACATTTTATTTTGTGATTTATTGTTGTTTATTTTGGGTGGGTTCTTTAATGTCAGTCACTTTGGGGAAATGCTGCACCCTCTGGAGAGCTGGAGTTGTGCTGCGTGACAGATGTTCCGGTTCTGTTTTACACATGGGGGGGGGAGGGCAGTTAAACAGCTGGGATTTGAACCTGCAACCTTTCGCATAGGCCGCCGTTATCTCATTGGTTGATTTTCGTATGTCATGTGTTACAAGTTTTGTATGGATGTTTGAGTCGTGATTGACTGGCTTTTTAAACACTTGGTGGCAACATGTGGCTGTGTGAACATGTGGGATTTTAGTGGCTGGACTCTGTTCCGGTTTGGTATTGCGACAGAGCGAAGAACTGCAGGAATGTCATGCCGGCCTCCAAAACGGAAATCATACGGGTCGGGCCAGTCCCAGAGATGCTGTGTGGGTCAGAGGTCAGTCGACTGGGAGGTCTCAGAGGGACAGGTGACTTCATCCAATCTTCTGAAACTTGCCTAACCCCCTTCAGTTCTGGGTCCTTCCATACCGGACAGGAAGCACTGCATCATGGGATACATGAGGATGGCGGAGCAGGGCATGTAGCCCTGTGTAGATTAGCTTAGCGTAGTGTAGCTTGCCGTAGCTTAGCGTAGTGTAGCTTGCCGTAGCTTAGCGTAGTGTAGCTTNTAGCTTAGCGTAGTGTAGCTTGCCGTAGCTTAGCGTAGTGTAGCTTGCCGTAGCTTAGCGTAGTGTAGCTTAGCCCAGCCTCTCTTGCTGCATCAGCTGTGCCTTCTAGTGGGCTGAGTGCCTTCAGCTACACGTGAGAAAATGGCATCAGGTTGTTCCACAAGCACAGGATGGCCACCTGCAGCCAAGACACATTTCCATATTTAAATGTGCCTGTGGCTGGTTTTCACATTTGTCGGCCTGCTGTGAGGGCCTGTCTGCCTGCTCCGGTCATCCCCGCCAGTGCCAACGTTTTTATCACAGGAAGTGGGAAGAGGCTAAGCCAGGTCAAAGGTCAAGCCTGTGGTATGTGGAGGGTGGGGGACAAACAGGGGAGGCATGTAGGGACTGTGCTAGCAAATGATTCGTTGTATAACAGAACTTACCATGAGGAGGTATGCAAATGAGCTATATTCCTCTTATTTCAATGTGTTTCTGCCCCCACATATGTAGCAGGGTGGGGGTGTCTTCTGTTACTTGCTGTGTTTTTGCCCCCACTGGCAGCCGTTGGTACCCATGCAGGCAGGGAGGCACAAGCCACTGGTCAGATGCCCATGGCTCTTGTGTGAATTTGCCCTCTTGAGAATTTTGACCAATTTGTTTTTGGACTCTCAGGTTTATTACTCTGATTTCTCCATCATGCTATTTCATAATGAACTCTTGGCCTGATTTGCCTTATTATAAATGAGGAAGGAACACAATGATGCATTTAAATAGAGCAGATATTTTTAGTGGAGAATAAAGGTAAAGACTTTTTGATTTAAATGATATTTTTAAGGTCCCTATCTGCAGTTGCACGGGATGTGGGCAGGTGGCCGTATCAGTTTTGCTAGAATCTTACACTCAGATAAACTTTATTATTATTACTTCAGAGTCTGATTCTTCCTAAGATTTTATCGGAGGGTTTTTGGGATGACGGCCAAAGTTGGGCAATACTAAGGCCTGTTCCAGCTTCCCTTCTCCCTGGGTGTAATGCTAATGTTCCGGCCTGTTATTCTGCCAAGTCGTCAACTCTTCGACCCGTCTCTGTGGCTCAGTTCCTCTTGTGAGCAGTTCAATGTTTGAGCTCTTTAATATGCTCACACTCTCTCTCTCCTCCCTCTCTCTCTCTCTCTCTCTCTCTCTCTCTCTCTCTCTCTCTCTCCGTCCCTTCCCCCCTCGCTCCCCTAAATCCACCAGGCGTAACCTGACCAAGCTCTCGCTGATCTTCAGTCACATGCTGGCCGAGCTCAAGGCCGTTTTCCCCAACGGCCTGTTCCAGGGAGACAACTTCCGGATCACCAAGGCGGACGCGGCAGAGTTCTGGCGGAGGTCCTTCGGGGACAAGTGGGTTCCTCTCCGGCCTCATTGACCATGTTCTCTCACAGTCTACCAGTCTGCTGACCACATTCCATTCCAGTCCATCTTCGCTGAACTGCCCAGTGACCAGAAGCCTGCAGTACCTCTGCAGCGTCTGCTTATCTGTGCTTTATCTGACCTTTGACCTCATAATCTGCTACTCTGTTGCCGCAATATTTGAAGAATGTCAAAGTGCCTCTGAGTTTTCGCTGATTAAGTAGCTCCTCTGAGTTCTGCTGTTGCTCCCTTTCTTCTCCTCCCCCTGTCTGACCGAGCAGGACCATCGTGCCATGGAAGATATTCCGTCAGGCTCTGAACGAGTTCCACCCCATCAGCTCGGGCCTGGAGGCCATGGCCCTCAAGTCCACCATCGACCTCACCTGCAACGACTATATCTCCGTCTTCGAGTTTGACATTTTCACCCGCCTCTTCCAGGTGAGCAGGGCGGCATCCATTTCCTGTTTCCTGGCAGGCTGACTTTGCAGTAAGCAGTTTGAGTTTGGCAGCTGGTGCTTGGGAGGGGGGGGGGCAAAAATTAAATTTAGTAAGTGATTCAGTTCTGAAGGGGGTGTATGTCTGACCCAGTTAAAAGTGGGCTCCTCTCCCACCACACAACTGTGGCCGAGTTTGTGTGTGTGTGTGTGTGTGTGTGTGCGTGTGTGTGTGTGCGTGTGTGTGTGTGTGCGTGTGCGTGTGAATCATACGTGGTGCAGAGATGAGGGGCCTGTGTTCGGCCTCCACTTTGAGCTGTTTGCGTTCCACAACTTTTGGGCCAGGCAACAGAAAGAAACTATGGCAAAGGGGATTCCCAGAATCATAGTGAGTGGGTCCTTTAGAATAGTCCTCCTTTGTGTAGCCTAACATTTTACATTTAGGATAAGATATAAAATGTATATTTCTTAGAAGGCACAAGAGTTGAGCCCTTTCTGATGTGGTTTCTTCCCTTTCTGATTCTTTGTTCCTCGAGTGGTTCCTTTGTCACTACTGCCCCCTGCTGGTGTTTTTGGGGATGAGTCTGAATGCCTGCGCTTGTGTTCCTCTGCCCCTCAGCCCTGGTCCTCCCTGTTACGAAACTGGAACAGCCTGGCTGTGACTCACCCCGGGTACATGGCCTTCCTCACCTACGATGAGGTCAAGGCCCGTCTGCAGAAGTTCATCCACAAACCTGGCAGGTGGGCTCACAGCTGCCATGCCTGTTTTCACATCTATTTATATCCGTACCTGGTAGCTGGGCCGCAGGGTGCTGACTGTTCTCCCCACTTCCTCCATCTCCCCAGCTACATCTTCCGCCTGAGCTGCACCCGGCTTGGCCAGTGGGCCATCGGCTACGTTACGGCTGATGGCAACATCCTGCAGACCATCCCACACAACAAGCCCCTGTTCCAGGCCCTCATTGATGGATTTCGGGAAGGCTTGTGAGTCCCCCCCCCTGCCCCCCACGTTCATGTACAGCAACGCATTTGAATCACCCCAACAGATCTGTACCAAATTTAAACTCATTTAGTTTTTGCCAGTTAAGGGGGGGGGAGTTGGCTTTGGATACAGCCAAAGCTGATAACTCACTGAATGCACTACATTTCATTGAGATTGATTCTGCAGATGCTAATTGGATGTTGGCCGTAAACTTTCAGTGTAAGGCTGCACGATACTTGAAAAATGTCAAGATCCATTTCCATCCATCCATTTTCCATAACCACTTATCCTATTGAGGGTTGTGGGTAGCGATGCACCGATACCAATACCTGGCTTTTGGGTACCAGCCGATCCAGTGCCAGTGTTTATTTAATATGCTGTATGTCTCACTGGGCGGAGGAGCCTGAGATTATTCTGTTTTATCAGGCTTAAATACTTGACTTAAATACTGTTACCTAACTTTGTAAGACAGTGTAACAAATATGCAAATGTATACACTGAATTATTTATTATTAAGTCAGCTGGCTAATGGTTACTCTTAATCATTATTCCATATTGGTATAATTTAGTTGCACCGTGTGTGGGCTCCAGTCCGCTAGCAAGCGTAACACTCCTGGGGCAACGACAAACACTATGAGCTGGGCAATCGAAACCTGCACATCTCTGTATGCATGTGATGGACAGATTGCTTGTGTTACTGGCCATACATGCGAAAGGACTTGGGCATCGTCAGCATCGACTCTAGTGAAATGTAATCACACTTCTGAACGTTTTCTGTGTGTGTGCTGCACATCGCTGTGCGTCACAGAATGAGTGCGCTGTTCCGTGCAATGTTAATTTGTTTTGATAAATCTTGCAATACTTATAAAGCAAAAAAAAAGCAGTTAAGAATTTTCCCAAAATAAACTATAATCCTGGGATTGGCTCCAGCTTCCCTGCGACCCAGATGGATAAAGTGGTATCGATAATGGATGGATGGATGGATAAACTATAATCAAATTGACCTTTTTGTCTATCAGCAGAGTCTGTGAAATAGGTCACTAAAGAGAGGTGGTGAAATAGTGTCACTGCGAGTTGTGCCAACAAATCACTTGCTTTTGCTCGATATCATTTCCTTGGAATCCACAATATTTCTGTACAACAGAAGGCGAATGGATTTCAGTGACCAGTTATTGATCACTTTTCTCTTTCCGACTCATTTCATTAAATGTCTCACAAACCCATTTCTGAGCGATTTTAAACAGCAAGGATGATAATGGTTGTGACCTGACCCAGAGAGTGCATGCAGAACTCGTGTAAAAGCAGCAGCGGTAAATTTGAAATTGATTTTGATCAACATATACTGGATACTAATTTTGATGATAATCTTGAAAAGGAACAAAGCCTATAAAATGCTTTAGTGAAACTTTACACCCCCCCCCCCACTGGTGGTACAATATCCAGAGAGTATGAAGGTATAAAAGAGCCTGATCTCAGTCTATCTGACTGTCATGGTCCTTGCAGTGTGAGAATTGCATGTGCATAACATGTGATGTCTGTATTAATATCGCCCACCCTGCTTAAATTGGAGTAAATTGTATCAGACTTCTCTTGTAGATTATTCATAGAAAATGAACAGTCCAAACTTTCCCTGTGTAACAAGAAGTTAAAAAGCTGTAGCATGACGTGTTCGATCTTATCTGCCTCACTTGACATTGCACACTGTGCAGTGTGATTAATGTGCATGCGCACACTGTGCAGTGTGATTAATGTGCATGCGCACACTGCAGTGTGATTAATGTGCATGCGCACACTGCAGTGTGATTAATGTGCATGCGCACACTGCAGCGACGATGCTGAATCGATGTGTCACGATTCCAGGATTCATAATGAGCATGTAGCTCTTTACAGGTGGAACTTTACAGGCAGTCAGGGGAGGCAAAGAATGACGACCAGGGGGATCTTTGGTTTTGTATTTGAGGTCAGCATAGATTTTGCCCTGAGTTTGGTCCTGCTGGGGTGTCTGTCTGCCTCGCTCCTACCTCGCTCCTGCCTCGCTCCTGCCTCGCTCCTGCCCCGCTCCTGCCTCGCTCCTGCCCCGCTCCTCTGAAGCCTCCACCCCTCTGCTCCACAGCTATCTGTTCCCAGACGGCCGTGCTCAGAATCCCGACCTGACGGGTCTGTGTGAGCCGTCTCCGCAGGACCACATCAAGGTCACACAGGTAAGTGATCGCCAACCCCCTTGATCGGCTTGACCCTGGACAGCCCCCTCGCCCATCTCACCTGCGCCCCCCCCCCCCCATGTCTCCAGGAGCAGTACGAGCTCTACTGCGAGATGGGCTCCACCTTCCAGCTGTGCAAGATCTGCGCCGAGAACGACAAGGATGTGAAGATTGAGCCATGTAGCCACCTCATGTGCACGTCCTGCCTCACTGCCTGGCAGGTGAGTGTGTGTTTGTGTGTGCGTGCGTGTGCACGTGAGCCCACAGGCTCCGCCCCCTCACCCTGTCACTCCGCTGCAGGAGTCCGAGGGCCAGGGCTGCCCATTCTGCCGTTGCGAGATCAAGGGCACGGAGCCCATCGTGGTCGACCCGTTCGACCCCAAGGACAACAGCGGCTTCTCCTATGGTGGCTGCAGGGGGGCCCTGGGGGCTGAGGGGACCCCCTCCCCCAGCTATGACGATGACGATGATGACCGGCTAGATGACCCCCACCTCATCATGAGCAGGCTGGCCTGTGACAAGGTGAGTAGCCGGACCCACCCCCACCCCAGCCCAGTGTACACCCTTACACTTCACTCCTCCATGTGTGACGACACACACGATAAACCACAGCCTTGGGGTGTGATGACGTTCTGTTACGTGCCATAGGTGGAGCGCCCCCCCTCGCCCATGTCGCTGACCCCCCAGGCAGCACTGCCCCCAGTACCCCCTCGGCTGGATCTCCTACCACACCGGCCCCCCAACCCCTCTGGAGCCTCCAGTCCGGGTGCGACGTCAAAGGCAAGCTTCTCCCCAGTGTTACCTTCTCCAGTGTCTTCCCCGGACTGCAGATGCCAAGGTGCGGCCCCCCCTGCCCGTGGTGGGTAACTCAGCGCTTGATCTTTCTCTTCCTCCCCCGTCACTCCCAGGCTGCAGCGCACCACAAGGACAAGCCCCTCCCACTGCCACCAACGCTGCGTGACCTGCCGCCCCCCCCACCCCCTGAGCGTCCCCACTCAGCGGGGGCCGATGCCCGCATGCTGCGGCGCCCCTTGCCCTGCACACCGGGGGATCCGCCACGGGACAAACTACCGCCTGCCCCACCCAACCGGCCCACGGCGGACTGGACCGCCCGGCCCGTGCCCAAGGCCCCCCCGCAGACGCTGGGCCTCCGTGACCTGTCCAACCGCCATTCCCTGCCCCTGGCACTACCCTCAGACACACACAGCGGAGCTCTCAGCCTGGATCCTCAGCTGGTGAGAGTGCCCCCTACTGTTATGTGGGATGATTGCAAAGCCACATGATAGGGCAGCAAGCTAACATGTGGTTAATCGTTCCTGTAGAGTGGCGGTGCCGGGTCCTCTGTGCCCGTGGAGGGTGACCTACCCAGGGTCAAGTGCTCTGTTTCTGCCAATGCCATTTACAGCATGGCTACCAGGTGGGTGTGTGGGCATCCGTCTGTCTCCGTCTGTCTGTCCCCGAGCGCGTCTGTGACCGCTGTCCCTCTCTCAGGCCCCTCTCCAACCTCAAGCAACCCCTTGCAGCCGAGGTCCATGAAGGTGATGAAGAGTCAGACTACATGACTCCCAGCTCGCGGCCCGCCCTCCCGGGCCTGGCTGCCGGCATGGGGGAAGCCGCCTCTGGCCCACGGCCGCCTCAGCCTGGCATCCTGAGCTCACGGTTGGTGCTGGTCCGCCAGCAGTCTCCCAGCTTCCCCCTGGCGCCACCTAGCCTGACGTGTCCTTCCTCCGCACTGTGTTTGCAGCTCCCTGCTGGCTGACCTGGACGTTGAGACCTATGAGTCCATGTACAACATCCAGGTCCACACAGCCGGCGCGCTCGACGCTTGCCAGGGCGGAGACTCTGGTACAGCTTCATCTAATCGACCAATCAGCTACCCAACATAACCCCAGACCCCCCCCCCTAATCCAGCATTTCACCCCCAACCCCCAGATTACTCTGAGCTGCCCACCACAGTCTGCTCCAACGGCCCTGGTGTGACAGGAGATGAAGATGAGGAAGACGATGATGATGGCTACGAATTCCCTACACCGGTCCTGCCTCAGTCAGGTCGACCTGCCTTTCTAGAGCCCGCTGCTGCCTCCCCCTGTCCCTCCACATCCTTCAGCCACCTCTCTCTGGACAGTGAATCCTGTGCTGCAACCGGTATAAACCCCTGGGGGGGGGGGGCGCTGGCACTACCCCTATTGCTCAAACAGCACTAACAGTAGTATCTGGAAAAATGTAGTTCCTAACTCTGTATAGTTAGTGAGAAAGGATGTTGAGCGAGTATGAGCGAATGAGAACTGGTCCCATTTCAGTACATATAAGTGTCCTAGAGCAGCAGTAAATCCCTAACAAGTTCTCGCTCAGTGTAAGTGTTGCCCATATTGAGTATTCGGTCATTATAAGTAATGCTGATATTGGAGTACTCACTCAGTATGTGACTCTTATTTGAGTGCTCCCTCATTATAAGTAATGCTGTTATTGGAGTACTCACTCAGTATGTGACTCTTATTTGAGTGCTCACTCATTACAAGTAATGCTGTTATTGGAGTACTCACTCAGTATGTGACTCTTATTTGAGTGCTCACTCATTATAAGTAATGCCGTTATTTGATTAGATTTGCTCTCTACTGATGTTTCTCTGAATCCACCCCTACCAGCATTCCCCCCTGAGCTCGGAAATGCCCCAGAGAGGCCACCCAAGCCGCTGCCACGACGGATGCCCATGGAGCATAGGGGGAGCCCCGGGGGCAGCCCTGCACCCACCCCGCCCCCCGCTCCTCCTGGGATCAGCAGTGAGGTGGAGCAGCTAAGGAGCCTGGGGTACTCCTACCAGGACATCCAGAAGGCTCTGATGATCGCACAGAACAATGTGGAGATGGCCAAGAATATCCTGCGAGAGTTTGTCTCTGTCCCTTCCCCGGCTCACATCCTCACATAGCGCACGTCCCCCCCCCACACACACACACACCACTCCCCCCCCACCATCTTACCGCCGTAATTATGTGCTGAGAGGATGACGTTGTGGGCGTATCTTGGCCTTTGCCGCCCAATTGGCTGGCTCTTGCCCTCTGCAAGCTTTTCAGATGGTCTTGTTTTCTCTTCTGTGGGTGATGACTCACAAGGTCGATATCTCTTTCATTTTTTCCGCCAAGAAATGGATGAAGTATAAATATCTGTAGTAAACCCAAATCTCCCCCTTCTGGCTCTGAGCTGCTACTGACTGGCTGGGAAGTGCTCGGGCTGTACTCTTTGACACTCTTAAGTGCCAGCAAGTGTACTTTTATTCCCTAGTTTTTATACCCCAACCACATACTCACACACAGCAGCATGATTCTGACGCCCCAAGCTTGCCTTATAGTCTCTGCTGATGACAAACGCCTCCTGCTCTGTAGCTACACACGGTCAGGGGGGATTGGCTCGTCTGGAGGCCTTCTCCCCCCTGTGACACGAATGCCATGCCTGTTTTCCAAGGAAGTCGCACACACTCATCCGCGGAACTCGACAGCTGACACTGACCCGCAGCAGGGGATTCTGGGAGGTCCCTGTCAGGCTCATGTGGCTCCCCTAGACGCAATGAGGGACTTTGTGGTCTAGTGCCGTATTGAAATAAATGTGGACCACTGTAATACCCCACCTCCCAGGTAGTTTTTCTTCCAGAACCTTTCAGTGAACCTTCGAATGACAGGCTTATATGGGTGAAGAGAGAACATTTCAAATTGTGTTGATTAACTGGTGAGGAAGCTAATTTACTAATGTAGAACTCCCCCCAGTGATGGGAGGTTGTGAATGGGTCCGAACATGTTCAACGTGTTTCAAACCTTATCGTTGTTGTTATTGTTGTTATTATTATTATTATTATTATTAATAATAATAATAATAGTTCAGAAGTGCTTTACTGCTGCTACTATTGTCCGTGCTAAACAATTAAGCCTTAAGTGTACATTTGTGAATATTGTATGGTTTAACAGTTTTTTTTTTTTTTTTTGTTAGTTTGTTTTTAAAGTGACAGTATGCTTTATTTTCTTTTGTGGTGTAGCATACTTGAAAAAAATATAAGCAGCTTGTGAAACCACTGCAAGGCCTCTGTTGACTTCAGACAGTCGTGCAAGAGCACAGGGTTTAATTGTAGCAAGACATGGTTTGATTTTAAAAGTCAAGAAATGCTAATTCATTAAATACAAATAAATTAATGATGACTGTACAATAGAATCTTTGGTGTTTTATGATAATGGGAGTAATTTGCTGGGTCTGCCTCATTAGCACATGTTCTACCAGTTTGAAACAGTTTCACAGTCCTCTCTCTCTTTCCCTCCCTCCCCCTCCTGTTCCTTCACTCCATTTGGATATATGCAACCTGGTGACTATTTTCGAGTTCAGTAGCACATAAAATTGTTGTTGATTACTTTAAACACAGCAGACTGGCCAGCAATGTGCTGCATCTTATGGGTCTTCGGGGATCTGTTGTGTTTGGTGACCGTGGCAGCCCTATTCATAACTAACAACTCTTTTTCTTTGGATTAATCTACTGACTATTTTACTGATTGGTTCATTAATTTTCCTCCAGAAAATCGAGTTGACTGTTTAGTTCAAGTTAATGGTATTTTGACAACAAACTGTCATTGCAGGGCTTTAGATCGTTTAGTGCGAAAAATTCAGCATCCACTGACATTATTTTCGCTCACAGTTTGATAAGCAGATTAGTAGTATACCTAAAATATTAATGAGATGCGCATTGTGATGCTAAAAGGTTTGTCATCTGTATAAATTCGGTATATCCTTCTACTAACTTAATTCAAATAGCATTGCACGCTACATGCTACTGTTTTTGTAAGACATTGAAGCAGTAAGTACAGAAGTCGCGGTGAAAAGGGGGACATCTTTTGTGGTTTGTTAAACTAGGTACAAAGACATTGGTGGTGTGGCAGTACTTTAAGTCCGACACGTATTTTTGATACAGTTTTCATTTTTAATTCAATTCACGAATTATTTTCTTTTATTTACCATCCGTATTCGTTTCAGTTTTAGCTTACGTTAACTGGTCCCAACAAGCCCAACGTGCGTGAGCACACACTGGCACCATCAATCGATTTCTCAAACACTTAGTGGAGATTCTAAGGTAGCGGGCAGACAACTTCATAGCTTTTAATAATGAGTTATCTACCAGCTACAAGGACAAAAGATATTAAGAAGCTCTCCATACTAATGATTAATTAAAGACAACACTTATGGTTGTTTTGCCTATTCTATGCCTAACTTTTATAAAATGAGATGAAACCTTTGGGCATCGTGGGGTGGCTCCGCAGTTGGAGAGATTGAAGGCTATACAGTATGTATAGCCTTCAATCAACACCTTTTGATTCATTATGGAGAGTGGCTCTGGAAATGGCAAGAGGCGATCCTCAAATGTTTGGAAATGGTTTGAATTGTCTCCCAATAAGGTGAATGAATATTGATATGGCAAAATACAAAATTAGTTTATTATTATTATTATTTTATTATTATTATTAGTTGCTGTTGCTTGTTAAATGGGCCACTTCTCGCTTGCCACAGGGGAGGCTGGTTGTCCGTTCCCTTGTTGTAAATCGCTTTAATCCAAAGCGATTTACATCTGCCAAATGAATAAATGTAAATGATTAATATTATTATTATTTATCATTATTGTACTGGCCAGGTTTGCATTGCTCCTATCATCTGTCACACGACAATAAGACACCCTCAGTGTACTAAATATCTTTATTGCCCCTGGGACACTGTCAAGCTGCACCCAAGGCATCAGCACCTCATTCTTTGTCTCCCCAGTTCCCCATCTCCCCAGTTAAAAAACTCCCCCTAAACCCTAACAAGTGAAGACACGTACTGAAACACCCAATTGGCAACAATTTAACAATTACAGAGTTCGTCCCAGATCCGTCACAATGTTTTATTGTAAATACATTATGACTGAAAATACGTATCAGTAAACCAAAATGGGGAACGGCCGGAAATTCACGAAGTTTCATCGCCCCCCGCGCCGTCCATCATCCACAATGGCACCTGTGAGTTTCCTCTTCAGGAGCGCCGCGCATGCATGCCGCTGTGGTACGCCATCAAACTTGGCACAGTGTACAGCCACGTTTTGGTTATGTGATCATTTGAACTACTCCCATAATTACGTACTGATATTAAAGGAAATCATTTGTTATAATGGATTGAAAGTTTGAAACATTCTACAAATCATAAAGGTTGTTTCATGAAAATAATTTTTAAAAGCTATGCATCGACATAATCGACTATTCTGTCGACTGATCGAGGTAGCCTTAGTCACGGGGCTTCAAAAGCTTGCTTTTAAATGGAAAAGGTCCGGTTCTCTGCTGTCTTCATTTGCTGGGGCGTTTATATGTTTCCATGCTAGAAGGTTAATCTCTCGTTGGAAGTCTTTAGCAACTAGGCCTATGTCTCTTGTATGCATAGGATTACTAAGTTAGTGTCCTGCATTGAGTTGTTGTTTCAGTTTCAGATAAATATATGGTTTGAGTTTTTAAGTTTTCAAATGATATGTGAGAATGATTTATGAAAGAAAAAAAAAACGGAAAGATAAATCGTAAGCTTTGAAAATGTCAATCCTGCACTTTCAAGTCTTTGTCAGACATATCAAGGTAAATATTAAGGTGTAATTTTACCTTTTAAACGAGATTTATTGCTGTTACTCGCATAATTCCTCTTCAAATACCCTTGAATTATGTCCCCTGTGGTATTTAACACTCCGTCTGGGTGCGTTCGACTCCACAGCATAAATGAACTAACTGTGAGACTTATTTTATCTTTTTCCTCAAGAGGGAGCTCTTTCCGCTTATTGCCTATTACTAGTAACTCGTATCACAATGTACTGCAGTTTTTACAAACAATAACTAAAAAAAAAAAAAAACTCTAAAAATGTAAAACATGAGTCAAATGCGAGGATTACTTTGCATTGAGGATACATCTTATACTGTAAAACGTTTTATCATTTAACTATTTGCAGTGGTTATTTCTTTTCAGGAACCAAACACGTGACATAACATTTACATTAACATTTATGACAGGAAATACCTGGTAGGGGAGCTAGGTATTTGGGTCCTGAATGGAAATAACCACTACAAAGAGTTGAGTGACACATTCTTATCATTTTTGTTTGCATATGTAGTAATACATTTTTATACAAATTCTCTTTTCCCTACTGTATCAATATTGTACAGAATTGTGAACCCAAATCTGTGGTACGCACCGAACCTTTTGTGTGCATTACACCCCTTCTCTATAGTGATACAACACACTCTTTAGTGTTACAACACACAATACAATTTCAAAAGAAATCCTACATATATAAAAGGATCATTAAACAACTCAGACGACTTCTGTCATTTTCATGCCACAGGAACACGACTGGACTGTAGTACCTGGGAGGCAGTTTCAGGTCCGTTTTTTAGTACCTACTCCAGACTCGATACAGTGACTTGTCGATTTACGACCTATGCGATTTATGACTGATCGACTTTCCGACCATTCCGAGACTGCAAATATCTGGCCGCGTCTGGCAGCGTGAGTGTTGCCCAGCCTGAGTGTAAGACGGGGTCCGCCCCAACTGCCGACAGCGCGAACATCCATACGAGATGCTCTTTCCTTCATCTCGTGCTCAGGCTACTGTTCGCAGCTGTCACGGTTATAACAACAATGAACTAAGAAAATGGTTAAGCACTTCGGCTCTGTAATCGTGTTTCTCCAAGAAACACATTTAACTTCAGGTGAGGTTTATCAGGCTACGGAGATGAAGGCAGGGCCAAGTCCTTCCAGCTCATTCTTCATCCCCTTTCGAATAAATGCCACCACTTTGCATCTCGGGGGTAGGTTTCCATTTTACAAGGTAATTTATTTAAAGAACATCTCAATTTAGTCAATATCTACGGGTCTATTAAAGATTATCGACAATTTTCTAATAATATTTTCATAACATTTGTCTCATTGAGAAGGAAAAGTTTTATTCATTCTGTCTTTCAGGTCAGAACTTCTGAAACCTCACATTCAATTAAATGGGAAGCCTTTAATGCTTATATTATAGGACAGGTGATTAACTAGCCTATATACCAGTTATAAATTTAAACAATTCATAAACAAAATACTAGAAATTAAATGGGAAAAAAGCATTCGAAATTGAGATGATGATTAATGGAATTACAATAACTGCAACATAAACTAGCTATACTTAGAGCCCATTAAAGAAGCCCTTAAGTAATTTAAACAAAGTATAAGACTGCAGTTTTATGACAAAGGTGGAAAAACAGGCAAACTGTCTGCCTGGCAATTTAAAACTTTACAAAATGAAAAAATGATTTATGAGACCGAGGATTCCAACAAAGTTATTACAACAGAAAAAGAAATAAACATAGCATGTAAAATATTTAATGAAAAACTTTATACAGCGCTGTGATGTATCCTGTGAAGTCTGGAGCATACTAATGAAACTAGTGTCAGGATCGCTCGATCCCTGCCCTGTCCATTCCTGTGTGCCGTGTACCTGTTTGACCAGCTGGTGTTGCTGGCTATCCTATTCAGTGTCACCCTGGTTGTTTCCGTAGAGTTAGTATCTTCCGCAGTCCTAGCTTGTTGTCCCAGGCTACTGCAGTTAAGCTATCCACACTTTGCCAATACACGATCACATCATAGCCAAACAACCAGGGATGCTATGGTAGTGTTGTATCGCGAATACATAGTCGTTATGTTTTGGCTACCAGAAAGACATGCGCCAATGGATCGCTCTGTTTGAGATTCTGGTTTTCCACAGCAGGCGATCAGGCCGATTCTGGATCGCAGCGCGAGGCATTAGAGGAAGTGATTGTCATCAGGGATGATGAGGATGTTATCTTCCAGAGCGTGGTGCGTTCAGCCCAAAAGGCCATGGATCAGGCCTTTGCTCAGGGGCTCCAGGTAAGCATCTGCCTGCCATCGCCTGACTGGAGAACTTCAACAAGCATATGACATTTGACCTCCTACAGGCACAATTTGATGAAGAAGAGGAAGAGCTGGCCTTAAACCTGTAGAATTTGGCACTTGCTCTTCATGTGAAGCTCACAGGCCAATGTGTAACAGGGTCTATCTTCCTCTGCAGTATGACCTGTCTGGTGAAAGAGCCTGGATAGCCACTCCCATGCCATCAATTATGATCTCCCATCCAGGACTGCTTGAGTTCCTAGGATTAGAAGAAGGTATGCTGGCTTTATCCTTCATTTCAGCTCTGTCAGCTACCAGGTTGATCCGGATCTCTTTGATGGTAGCCAGGGAGACAATTACGAGGTAAGACCCTGTCGGCTTCCACAAGGCCTGTGAATACATACCAGCCCAGCCCCAGCCACCATGTTGGGCAGACTTTGTTAGCCAGCCCCTGCCCACTGTTTACTGTACCCAGGCTCTGCTGGCTTTTGAGGAAAGCCAAGGTGCTGTAATTGCCAGCGGCATGAGCACCAGGGAGATCCGTAGGCTGCCTACCAAAGCATTTGACCCTGCCCACAGTGCTGGGGCTGGGAAGGTCATGTGAGTCTTGAGCTCTGCCTTCACAGGCTATTTGCTGAGTTTCTATAATGTAATGCTTTCTGTGTAGGCACGTGCCAAATTTTTTTTCGTGATTACATGGAAGGAGAAAACTTGAGGATTCTCCCATGTCTTCCCGATTACCACGTGAAGTGTATTGATCGGTGGTCAAATGTAGGCCTTTTGTTTAAATGGTGAAACTTATTCTGTCATGAGCTGGGCATATCGGTAACGATGGGAAGGGTTTTGAGGCCTCATTCTGCACATCAGAGGCATTTTTTATGCCATATATGGGTTTGTGCATTGCTGAATTTCATTGCAACACTTTTTCCCCCATTTTTCTATGGGGAAACCGCACATGTCCAATATGCAGAGTGGACGTGTAGGAATTTAACAGTTAAAAGATCCAGCATGACCACTGGAAAGCCAGCATCTACCTCACTGCAGATGCATCCAGGCAGTGCAACAAAGAAACATCAGTCTGGTGCAGTGAAATTACATGCATTATATTTATATAGATGGTATTATAATATTACTGAATGTCTTTCCTTGTGTACTTTCTTTACCTTGAATCTTTTTTATATGTATTGAAATAAACATTTTATTTAAAAAAAATGTCTATAAACAACTTTTATTGCAAATGAGGATTTTTTTGTATAGACATACAGTCACTAAAAGGAAATAACCATCTTGGTACAGATTAGACAGGTGAAGGAGTTGTTGGCGGAATATAGTGCTGTTGTTCTGACAGCACCCCCCCCTTTCTGGTTAAATACTTTACATTGCGCAACGGAAAATCTGCTAATCTTTGTTTTAATAACTTTATACCAGGGGTCACCAACATGGTGCCCGCGGGCACCA